ACAGCCATGGGCCACTTTGTTTGTGTACGTTGTACGCTTGCTTCTTGAGGATCACCTACCAAATGCGTCTGAAGGCTGTCTACTTGAAACGATGAACCTTCAATAGGTTTTATGGGTGGATTCACCTTTATGAAGTCAGGACCTGTCAATCTGCCAAAAAGAAAGTCACGTTACAGTAATTGCTCCTAGCGGACTCCAACTCGTAGATTTGTGAAAAAAGGAAGGAAAACCTGGAAGCCAAATAAAGTTTGCTTAGCTTATTTCAGTAGCGATGGTCTGCACAGGTGGAGCGCTTGGCATTGCTGATCACATTTCTCTTTCCATTCTCAGTTTCTTCGTACATCGATGCGGTAGAACAGCGCGATGTGGAGCGGAGGGTCGAGCAATTCTCTTCCTTGCACCAACCGAGGTCGCCTACGTGGACTTTCTTCGCATCAACCAAAATGTGTGTTGTTGTTTTTTGTTTCCCCTTTACTGTGTGAGCGTTTTCATCCATTTCCATCCAAGTGGTAGCAAGATCAAGACAATTGGCGTATTGTCATTTCAGTCGAACTCTTTGTGAAGGCTTGCCTCGACTTCCTAGACTATCTTTCTCCCACTGCGCAGAAGTTGAATTGCGGCGGCTAAAAGCCGGTTACGGTTTTCGCTGTCTGGACTATGTTTTTATGCACCATCACGTGAAGGGAGTGAGGTAGAATTCACTGTCCGTTTCGGCGTGCTTTCATGGCGCATTTCGCTTTTGCCCATCGGAATCGCTATTTGTTTCGTCGGTGTTAGCGAAGCGGTCCTTTTCAATCGCATTAAATTTTTGTCTTGTAAGATTAGGCGTCATCCGTCTCAATCATTCCCAGATTTTTGTACTGTTCGAAACGCTTAAAGTTTCCCCTTTAACGGTGGTTGTCATTCGCCTTTCTCGCGATTGTTTGGTTCGTTCCCAATTGCTTTCATAATGTGTGTGCTTGGTGGGTAGCTTTCGTCTTTGAATCTCCTACTCAATCGTCGGTTCATTGGTCTTTGCGAGGAATCAACGAATCGCGTCACAGCCTTCACTACAGGTGAACAGTTGCGGGCACATCCCTCATCTCCACCCCTATAGGGACCGTAGTTGCCCTTTTATTTACACAACCAGCTTCACAAGTTGGCTCAATCATACATCGGGAAGGACAAGAGTTTTGGGTTTCAAAACCTTGGGTCTTTTTGAGAAAACCTTTGATGGGAGTTACGAACGTACATTTAGCCTCGAAGTCGCCTTAGCGGCTGTTATTAATTCTGGAAGGAGGGCGGTGGCGAGCTATCTTCATTAGTGACTCTCGAGTACTGAAATATCACTTGCCTGAGCATAGGCATTTTCTTACTGTCTTTAGAAGTGGGACATTTTGCAAAACGATGAAGAGCTTCTCAAAGTAAACCGCAAACACACTGAACTTCAGAAGTCGGCAGACGTATTCAGCAGGAGGTCTTAAATTAATTTGCAGTACTCACGTACTCTTTTTGCTCCGATACCAGGTTACCCTTGTCGAAAAGGATCTGTCCGAATTGGTGGACGTCTCCATTGCGAAGGAATTAACGAGCGAATCAATTCGTGCACAAATTCATCAAATTTGCATCAAAGATAGGTGAGTGACATCACCAGCACCATAAAATGACGGTGACTTTTTGCTTTAGGTTGCTCTACGAGAAGAGTATCAAAGCCTTTGTTTCATTTGCTCAATTCTACCGCAAGCATGACTGCAATTTGCTTTTCAAAATCCAAGGCAGGTGGTACCTTTTGATAAAATAGCATTCCCTATTGTTTTTTGCATTTAAATCCACTCTGCTACGTACTTTTTTTTTGTAATTTGTGCTCTTTTGGACTGTGCTAGCCGTACATTGCTTCCACTATGTGATCGGGGGTTAGGCAGCAGGCAAAGGAGGGTACCACTCGGTGGAGTTGCATGCTTGAAATCGGCCTGTGGGAAAGAGTCATTTAAAACCGTAACGATGGCAACGGCGTTTGCTTCCTTCCTTTGTGCATCCTACAAGTCCTCCTCTCTGAGCCTATGAAACTGTTTCAAGTAGGCTGAGAGAAATCGGCTTCTGTGTCTGAGACGATTTTATGCCTTTAAGGTGCAGGAATTAACCCTGCGCCGGGGTCGAGTTCTGTTTTACCACAGTCTTGGAGAGTTGGTTGATATGCCTGAATGTTGTCGACACAGCTACAGCCACGATCACAAGGAATTCGGCTAAGGTCTCTTGCTCTTATGCTCTCTAGTCTTGAGGAGTCTCATCTTATTTTTTTTACCCTCGTCAACCGACTGACCGATTTTACGAGTTTATCATTCTTGCAGAGCTGGATTGGGGCTCGCTGGGCAATGCTTACGGCTTATTGCGACTGCCGCAAATGCCGGAGCTTAAAGGTGCCACTATCGACAGCTTTGTCCCCTCCAACATCGACCTGACTAAACTCAAATACAAGTAACTTTACTTTTATGCTTCTCCTTTCCTTTAGTGGTGAGTAAAGGCCTTTTGAAATTATCCTTTTAGAGAGAAAAGCGTTGCCAAGCAGCGCGAGTTGAAACGCAAAGCTCTGTTGGCGGATCCATCGCCAGGATTCAAGAAGGTACATAGCATTACTAGCTTGAATTCTTTCTTGCTAACTATGCCATTAACTGTTACTAGTTGGATTGACATTTAACTGACAACTTCGTTGACTTGTCGTAACGCACAAGTGTGTCTTTTCCCGCCTCTCTTCCCTTACGCAGTTAATTGTAGTCTCAGTCTCGGTCTCACCCTAAGTCATTGACTAAAGTCGTTCTTAACTGTTAGAGCATTTTGAGCTTCATGCAGTGGTTGGTTGCATTTTCGCCTTATTCGTTCCTCTTTTGTACTAAACTGAGGTTGCACGACCTTCTCACCAGCACTAGTGAATGCGTTATTTTGGATACGCTGGAGTTGATGTTTATGCGATACTGGCGGGGGTTGAGTTGGACGGTAGGGTAGGTGTGAAGCCCACACGTTTGTATAATGATGGAAGGTGTGAGTCTTGCAAAGAAAGCACTCCCAAGGTCGTCGACGTCTTTTAATAGCATTAGCATTGACTTTTACCCAATGTGTGACATGTTCTGCATCGGTCTTGTATTTTGCTTGCGGTGCTTTCTACGCCTTTGAAGAGGAATTGGCCCTCAAAATAGTGTTAAATTTGGTTTTTTCTCATACCTAGTTGACCTCTAGAGAAAAGGCGACAGCCAAAGAATCTAAGCGTCCTGTGCGCCGCCAGAAAAAGGGACCTAAAGTGGGGCCTCCTGTGCCTTTTGCTCCTCCTGTTGCCGATATGTCAGACGTACGTACGAGTAAGCGTCGTTCCAGCGCTATGGCAATCGGTAGAGGCGATGATGATGTCGATGACGATGACGACACAGAGTCCATTTTAGAGGAGTACAGAAAGGTGAAGAAGCTGAAGGGTCGCAAAGTGAGTGAAAATGATCCCCTTAGAAATGTCACCACTGGAAAGGATTCAAATTAAACTAATAATTCATTGTCTATGCCCAGATTACAGCGGCCGAGATAGAGGATTTGGAAGACGAAGAGTAGGTGACATGTTTTTACACTTTCATTCTGTACAAAATGACCACATTTTTTACGCAATTGGCTCGACTTATTTCCTCTGCATTATTGACTTGAAAGTAAGAAATTTTCAGGCCATTGGCAAGGGAAGTGCTGACAGTTTAAATGTTGAAGTTTGTTGGGGTTTCAAGGCGGAACTCCGAAAACCCGATCACTCTTTACTATTACCCATTCTGTGTGTTTATCATTCGTTGCTGCCCCCTAGAAGCGACTTACATTTGCCGCTTCGGGTGACCCACTCTCGAACTGAACCACCTCTGGGGAAGCCTGACACACAAGAAAAAGGTGAATTGTGGCACAAAGAGGCGCAGCCACTTCCCCGCTTACCCTCCTTCTGCGCCTTAGCGAAGTTTGGTAGAGACCTACTCAAGTTGACAACATCATTCAATCACCTAACACTGCCCTAACTCTGATGTCATCGCACTTTGCACACTTGTGTTCCCTCGGGAGTGAGTAGATGGAGAAATGATCAGATCGGGGAAATCACTAGCAAAAAGTGCACATTACAATTCATTTGACAACTTAGCAGAGCATGTAAACCTCTCAAATAGCCTGGCTGACGTGCGCAATGCGGAGTCGAACAATTCGCTCCCCACAGAACATCATGATGGCGTAGAGGATGCAAAAGGGTTTAACACTTCCTATCAACCTAGAGGAGGAAAGGTTGAATGCAATGGTGCACTCACTGAAACTGCCGTCCACTGTGCTCCAAGGCGGTATGCAGGTTGATGAGAATGACGAGGATGAGGAGGTAGGTTTGCAAATAGAAATGAAACTGCTTCAGTACTCTACGGATTTGAATGGCACAACTTCGACATGGTAGCCTTGCTGCGAAGACATCAACCACCATCTCCTCAAGTCACCACTTTTCCCCTCCCTCCCTCACCTCCGATTTCGATGTTTAAAAACTCATTCCTCAAGGACACTAATGAGTTTTGGTCAGGAAGAGGTCATAGGTCATCACTAGTGAGCTTAAACAAGGCACTGGTTCTTATGTAAATTGCAAAAGGAGGCCTTTTTACTGCGATTCCAAGCATTGATGCTACGGTGGTGGATGCCTCGAGGAGAAGAAAACTTCTCAAGGCTTCAACACCGCCTCCTAAATTTGCATTTTTTGCCTCGACAGAGTGGGAAATGTTAATCGTCAGGTGGCCTTTTGGAGGCCAGAATGAGGTGGTGCATGGCTTGAAAACACGAGGTGAGTGAGTCTCCCTTTTTTTGGCAATGACAACGAGAGTGGGTTGAGGTGCTTCTCGGCGAATGCAAATCACAAGTTTTTATTGCACATTTGTTTTTCACACCACCTCAACAGCGCTCTCAGCCACAGTGTTTGTCCCCGTCTCGAGGTCCCCTCTCTAACCAGCCTGGAGGGCAAGTCATTCATTCATTCATTCATTCACATCCACAGTCGTTCAAGTGGATGTTGGGTAGGCGACCGCCTCAAACGGCACACATAAGACTCGTTTCACACACACTCTGTGGGGACATGGACTCAAAATACGCTCACGTCTGTGTCTTACAAGCTTCTCTCCCAAGAGCAACACGTCACAGTCAGGCCAACGGCTTTGACCGAATGCTGAATGGGTAGCCTTCGTCGCTTGGGGCCTCGTGGCTTGAGGTAAAGCATCGTTCTGAACTTATCTTGAGCATTTCTCCCACACATGAGTGGGGTTGGGTTTACTTTTTACTTTTTTTTGTGAATTCAAATCAAATCGTCGAATTATGTGATAGCAACTTTACAAATGGTAATCCTTTTTCTCCTCAAAACTGAAATAGTTCCTTCTAAAAAACCACTCAATCCGGTCAAGCAAGCAAATGGCCAGTCTCACTTTATTTCCTGACTGTCTTTTCCAGTCAAGTGTCAAGAAAAGATGAGGACGGTGTATTGAGGGATTGGGGAACGAGGGGACGGGGAGGATTGAAGTGGTTGGCATCCTCTTTGCTTTCACTCCACTGTCCTGAAGCGTGCACCCTCTTCAAGGTCTAATCTGACAGCATAGTCCTCTCAAAAACTGACGTGGGTAGCGTTTTCTGTTCCACCACCAGTCTACTTATTTAGCAAATTTGGTGGAAAAATGCATACCTGCAGCTCCTCGATATGGATGGAACTTGCATCAGCGACTTGATGATGGTGCACGACACTTCTCCTCTGACAGTTGTCATCACATGACATGGCAGACAGCGTTTCCCTGTTCAGCAGTTATCTCCATGACCCCGCGCTCCTCTGCTCCAATTCAAAGTGATTGTTGCTGATTGCTTTGTCACTTGCACTAGTCTGGAATTTGCCTTCCTGAGACATCCCCCTCCCTCACTCGCCAGGTTGATGAGATGAAATATGCATCCTCTGCGCTATAGGCACAACCAAAATTCTATTTCACACGCTTTTAAAAACTCCGGCAATTCCAGTGGTCTATGTTGGCTTTGGAGTTTCGAAGTCCACCATGAAACAACCGTCCAGGATCTCAATAAATGTCAATCGAATTGGCAGCTGGACATGGCATCATCAAGCAGTGTTGCGCGGATGCACAATTTTTCATGTCTCCACTCTCAAGGACTCTCATAATCACACAATACTGCTCGGCAAGTGCCCGGCGTTACGATTGGACTTTCTAAGTCTTGGACCTCCTACAATCACTTTGTCACTACAAGCACTGTTTGCAAATCTACCTACACTCGGTAAGTCTTTATTCTCCAATTTCTTGTTTATTTCTCTCTCTCTCAATCCCCCAAAATTCCCACGGTTGGGCGACTGGTAGATTTTGCCGCACCGATTAAACATCCAACCGCCCAACCGACACACACTCCTCCCGAGCACAAATCATGAGACGTTTATAAGGGCAAGTGTAGAGAGAGGTTGAATAGCATTTAACACTGCCAAAATGACCATTCCTCCGAACAATCACGTGCATTGCATCGCCTACCGCGTTAGTCTCGCAGAAGCCTTCAAAAGATGTAGCCAGTGCTTACTCTTTCTATTTGGGACATTACTCGCCATTGTAACGCGTATTCCTATTGCCAAGTTTTTGACAAATAATGACCAATTAAGTAAGAACTTTGTCCAGTAAGTGAACAAATTTTTCCCTTTTGCTGAGCTTTGTCAATTTTGATTTGTACAGGTGGTAGTCAATTCGGTGTTTACATCCCGTAGGAAGGAGAGTTTAAGATGCTTGAAACTTCTCTTCTCGAAGTGGATGAAACGCTCTAATTCTTACTCGTTCCTGGTTTTTTATCACATAGCTATGCCTTGCCTATGCTACTAGTTAATTATTAAGTAGTATGATGTAGATCGAATTCACTTACAGATGAGTGCTTGAATGGACGAACAGATGCAGGATTTATCGCTTCGATCATGGTCTGCATCCTCAATTAATGCATAGTGGCATAGTCAATTTAACTAGCTGACAGAATTTTGCCGTATAGAATTTCCTAATTCTTCCAATTTACCTCCCATCCGTTTGCTTTTTTATTCTTCCGTTCATTCACGAATTTGTCCATCCCTCTAAACCATACTCCATTAATCTAGTTTATATTGTCAGTCACCTTGTCTTATCTTTTCAGACGCTTCCGGTTTGTCGGTTTTGTCCTTCTCGTGCTTTCCGTCTTAAATCTTATTTTATGCTTTCTACTGCATTGTGTAGTGCGCGATCTCAATAATCTACAGCAGGGAGATGAACAGTAAGTGTAACTAGTTCTATGCAAACGCCACACAATAATTGCTCCCTCCTTTAGGATCAATGCCTATGACATTGATTGACACCATGAATTGCCCCACCAGAGGCGAGAGTGATGTTGTTGCGCTTTGCTCTTCTTCCATTCAATAAAGGAAATGCTTAATTTGAGCCTTAGCCTAACTGACATTTGTCAGGACCTTTCATTCCTCCGATTCTGGCTGAAAGATGAGACTGTTTGGCTTTTGCCTACCTTTTGAATTTTGCTGTGTTTTGTCAGGGATTTTGACAACCTCCATCACCCGCTCGGATGGGTGGGTTGGTTCACTCAGCGACCTCCGAGAGGAGGGAGTCTAGGCTAGCCGTCTTAATGATAACTTATGTAGTGTCAGAATAACCGAACACTTCGCATGACAATTGCATGGTTCTAAACCTGGGTTCATTTCTCGGAGACCTCATTAAAACTCCCAGAACGTCTTAAGTTTAAGGTAATCGAGGAGTCTTCTGTATGTAGTGAAAGTCTGACGTCATTTTGAGGGGACAAAGGCAGTGCTGCCGCCTTACCACGGAGTAGGCTTTTTTGAGGTCTCCTGTTGAGGGCACGCTTTGTTTATGTCTTCCATCTGGTTTTGAAAAGGAGGGTGTATTTTGATGGGTGATTGTATTTGTTTGCATCGGTCTCCAATGAAGCGTCAGGGACTTATGAAGAAAGGATCAGTAGTGAAGCACTACGTGAAAGTGTGGCCTCTTTGGCTGTAAAACCCTTTCACACTGACCATAGGAGAATAATAGCTGAACTTTGTGAAGGAGGCAAGACACTGGTGCTTAGGGTTGTCTTGGCTACTCATTCAGCCTCACACGCCCCCTTGACACAAGCACAGGGTAGACGGGGAGTTTTTGAAGGGAGAGAATGCGATGCGTGAAGCTCGTCCTTCACTCCGTATGAGGTCTCCTTTCGGCAGGTGGCTAGTGATACTTTTGGCTGTCTATTCATCAGAACAAACAGTGTTCACCGAAAATGAGGCTGACGCCTAACTTGGGTTCCGTAATCCTCAAGGCCTTGCACTCACTGAATAAGTTTCGGGGTTTCATCATCTTTATTGAATCTTTTCATTCAAGGAAGTGCCTATTTAAGTGTTTTTTTGAAGGATAACAGGTTATGCCGTCCTGTGAGAGAGTTGACTTCCTCCACACTCACTTTGACAAGTCAGCGGTCATGCCATTACCTAAAACACCCCGTAAAATTTAAAATGTTAATTTAATGGCCTTACAGTGGTGTTAGAAGTCCGGTGGAGTGCAAAGTAGTTGGCAAGAAGGCGAGAGGTTAACCTGATTATGAGCAAGAAACCGCCCACTATAATAGCGATCACGCCGTAGTCAAAAGTGGATCTGGAAAGCAATAAAAAAATGCACTTGGTTCACTTTTGTAAAGGACACATAATTCAGGCAGGGACGAGTAAGTAATGCCTACGTAAAGTGTCGAGCGGAGAGTCGTGAAAGGGGAGTAAGGCTGTAGCACGGGCTCCTCAATCATCCACAAAGGTCACTCTTAGAAAGTCAAGCCATTAAACACAGTCGCCAGTCGCCTTTTAAACCGATCTTTTTGACCTAACGACATTTGTGTACAATAATTTAAGTAGTATGTCGACTATCTGGTGGATTTTTCATTTTTACACTTCGTTCAACTCATCTGGAAGGAACGCAAGGTCAGATGGGTTGAGACAAGTGATTCGACTGAGTGTGATTTACTTATCGCGTCTGCGAGTGGTGGTTGAGGGACGCTGGCAACATATGCGTTCCATCTCCAGTTTCGAAATTCCCCTTCGAAGTAATGGGCTCGGAAACTCTTCTTCTACCTACATGCTACTTGCGAACTTCACGCATAACTTTCACGTGTGTTTTTACGGCGTGCTCGTCTCTATTTCTCAACCACTTAGCAGAGTAAGAAAAGCGGTGACAAAAAAGTGCCCTCCACTCTCAATCTCGTCCCGTTAACGAAGCACATTTCTTCGGATAAAACAGTCAGCATGATTCTTTGGTGTCCTCTGTGTAAGCAGTGAAACGCCTTCCTTTCAAATTATCGGCTGGTCTTGACACCCTTTAAAGGGGTAGTTCTCGGTACAATCTAGGTGTTTCCCTTTGGGATTAAAACACT